ATGTAGTTACATGAATCTATAAGAATACCCGTTTAACCTAAATGAAATAATTTTTTAAAATATTTTCTTCTTCGTTGATTTCTATTCATTTAAAAGGAGAGAAATTGTCATGCGAAAGAAACAAATGCCATGTAAAACTTGCCATTCAAATTTATAGTGATTTCTAATGTTTCAATTTTCCAAGCTTTTAGTTATTTCACAATATGCATCACTGTTGTGCAATCCCTCTAATTTCCATTCCTAATATACAAATTACATAAACAATATTAGGTTTTTTTTTATCCGGAGTGTTCAACAGGTTAAGTGTAATTGCATACCACTTATGGTTGCTTAAAACCTTAATACTACAATTTTTAATAAAATCCATAAAATTAACGCAAATTTCCATCAGTTACAATTATCAAACATATCAAAAATATCAAAAGTAAATTTTATCTGTTTCAATTATGCAGTGGGTGTGTGTTCTTTTCAGCCAATCAGAAATCTTACCAAATTTTCAGTAAGATTTGTTTTGGCTTTACAAAGGCTATCACGGATTTTTACGAGACTCGCTGCTGATTCAAGTTTACGGAAACAGCAGAGCGTATGGACGCATGAGACTTCCTATCATAGATGAAGGCGGAAGACGGAAATAATTAAAAAGCTTGTGTTTTGCAAAACTTTCATAAACCGCTCTTAACTTGTTGTCATACAGGTAAAGTCATGTTTTTATTTTACATTAAAATAACCATCACATTCTTCTTTCCCTTTTGCTCCTACTGTAAAAATGTACACGAGTTACATGTATTAATAATTTTAATCCGAAATAATCAACGACTCGTTTTTAGGTCACCTGAGTAAACTCAGGTGACCTATTGCTATCCGTTTTCGTCCGTCGTCGTCCGTCGTCTGTCGTGTGTAAACATTTGAACATTTTCAACTTCTTCTCTGCAACCACTGAACCAATTTCAACCAAATTTGGCACAAAGCATCTATGGGTGAAGGGGAACAAAAATCGTGAATTTCATGATCCCTGCCCCCCTGGGGCCTGAGGGGTGGGGCCAAAACCACTAAAATTAATGCAATCTTTAAAAATCTTCTTCTTTACTCCTGGACATCAAGCAGTCAAACTATTTGCATGATTGTAGTCAGCATTGAGTCCTCTACGAAAATTGTGAAATTCATGGCCCTGGGGATAAGGGTTTTAGTGCTAGGGCGGGGCTAAATAAGTATATAGTGAAAATGCATTATTTCTTTGAACATCTTCTTCTCTGCTCCTGGGTATTAAATAAACCAACTAAGTACATAGTTATGATGAGCAAGAGTGCCTCTACCAAATTTGTGAATTTTATGGCCCCAGGGTCAGGGGTTCTGGTGTTAAGGTGGGGCTCTATTGATTATATAGTAAAAATACATGATTTCTTTGAAAATCTTCTTCTCTGCCCCTGGGTATTAAATAAACCAAGTAAGTAAATAGTTATGATGAGCAAGAGTGCCTCTACCAAAATTGTGAATTTTATGGCCCCAGGGTCAAGGGTTCTGGTGTTGGGGGGGGGGGCTCATTGATTATATAGTGAAATTACATGAATTCTTTGAAAATCTTCTTCTCTGCTCCGAGGTATTGAATAAACTAAGTAAGAGCATATTTATGATGAGCAAGAGTGCCTCTACCAAAATTGTGAATTTTATGGCCTCAGGGTCAAGGGTTCTGTGGTTGGGGGGGGGGGGGGCTCTATTGATTATTTAGTAAAAATACATGATTTCTTTGAAAATCTTCTTCTCTGCCCCTGGGTATTAAATAAACCAAGTAAGTAAATAGTTATGATGAGCAAGAGTGCCTCTACCAAAATTGTGAATTTTATGGCCCCAGGGGTTCTGGTGTTAGGGTGGGGCTCTATTGATTATATAGTGAAAATACATTAAATCTTTGAAAATTGTCTTCTCTGTCTCTGGGTATGAAGCAGATGAACTACCTATATAGTTATGATGAGCAAGGGCCCTAATCTTGCAGAATTGTGAATTTCAAGGCCCCAGGGTCAGGGGTGGGGGGGCTCTACTTATATACTGGAAATGAATCAATTGTTTGAAATCTGGTCCTTTGTATTTATAAAACATTTATTTACTTTTTGATAGGCAATTTTAAGGGTGCCTTTTAAAAAATATGTGCAACCTAGGGTCAGGGGTTTATGTTAGAGTGTTATGGCACTACTGATTATTGATGAATATTACTGATTAGTTGGAGTGCATTTTTGTTCCCCTACCCTGCATATGGGTATTCAGTAACCAAGCTAAGCGACTGCTAAGTTTATTGTTATGATGATCAATGGTGCTCTTTCAAAATTGTGAATGCCATATAGCATCTGGCTTAAAACATGTTATTGAATCAAATTCAATACACTGTAACTGGAAAGTTGTTGCATAATGCTTAGGTGACCTATAAGGCCCGTGGGCCTCATGTTTATTTAAATAAGCATTTGTTTAAAATTGTTGTTCCTTATTGTTAAATTATTAGATCTTATAAATTTTTGTTTCCCTCACAAATAATTTCCTTTGTTCTTATTTCTAATAATTCATGCTTTCTTACATTTGCAAATAGAATTACATGAAATCAGTTATTGTAATTCCTAATATTTATTTTCAATATAAAGAGTTTCAGTTCTTAATTTATCCATCTCTATGTATTTACAGAAGTATCCCAAGATGCCCCGTGTCGTTTCCCTCCTTGCCGTCTCGTTGACCGTTAGTGTTGTCATGAAAGGTAAAACATTTTTTTATTTTTGTGAAAATTATTGTTTGCCCATAGTGTGAAAGGTCAAAATAAAATGAGCCCCATCCAGCATTACAACATGAATGATTTGATTAGTTTTAGAGGTAGGTTTTATTATCTTGCATTCGCTAACCTTTTTGGGGAAGAACTGTAAACCGAGAATAATTTTATATGGAATCTTAATTAATTTTGACTATCGAATCAATTTTTTTTTTCTAACGTGATTCTATCAAAATTTTAATACAAACATAGACCTTTATAATCGAGTAAAAAAGATATTAAGAACTAACATGGTGACCTAAGTCTATTCCGATTTTTTTTATGTGGTTAACAAGTGTTAGAATGAAATTCTAGGTCACAGGTCTTAGCATCAAAGAGAATGTTTATTACCTTTTGAGTAACAAAGCTAGAGTGGAAGGAAGGACGAACATTGGCGTAGCATCGTTTTTTTAAAGTGGGGGGGGGCAGTCAGAGAAAAAAATTTTTTTGCTTACCTGTAAAAGTTGACAAGCAAAAAAAGGGGGGGGGGGGAATAGTTGCCCAAAGTCGAAAATCCCATTTCGTTGGGGGTGGGGTGGGGGGGGGTATACAGTAGGTAAACTTTATTTTCTCAGTTTCAACTACTTTTAGTACCAATTTTAATTCTACATTTTCGGTATATCACTAAAAGTCTAAGGTGGGGGGGGGGGGGGCAACCAGGCTTTCAATTTACATTTCTTATTGTATAAGTTAGGTTTGGAAAAAAGTGCGGGGGGGGGGGGGGGGGGGGGGGGGGCAGGCCCCTCCTGTTGCTACACCCCTGACGAATATTTTAAATTTGTTCGTCATTGTTTCATTCATTTTTCGTCGTATCAAATGTACAAAATAAAACATTGATAAATGTGTTCCAAAATAATTTGATTATCAAAATAGGGTACAAGTTCAGTATCAGTAATACCAATTTATACTTGATTATTTTTATTCGGGTTGAAGTGGTTAACAGGTATAAGTTGAAATTCTGGATCGAAGGGGTGCTCATTCATTTCGAAATTTATTAAAAAGAAAAAAAATTAATGTCCTTTATTTACCCAGTGATAGATGCACAGTTAGGTTGTGAAGTTTCCAAATTAAAGTGTACCACAGACTACACCAAAGCGACATCATCGATATTTATAGCCAAGGACAAATCATGCAAGTAAGTCCGTGTTCTAATTAATGTTGGACAGAATAGCACCACAGGTAAGTGGTTATAATCATCGTGTCGGTCATTGATGATTTTGTTGTTACTATACATAATGTCCTTTTTAATGTAAGTGCTGTTTTGATATTGTAGAGCTGCCAATGATTATCTTGCATGTCTGGAAACCGCTGCAAAGGATTGTGGTGGTGACGCCGATACTATAGTAGAGCCCGCTAAAAATGCCTTGTCATTGAGAGGATGTTGTGAGTATTATTACCGATTTCATTTCCCCGGCAGGGGATGCTCACTCCTCCCTGACACCTGATCTTACCTCATGTTTTGGAGGGCCGTGTATTCTCTGCTCCTATAATTTTTAATCTGTTCTTTATCTTCATATAGTTCATTACCTCTTGCCAGTAAATGAAGATGGGTTAAACCATGATAATTCTTGTTTAAAACATTTTTTTAAAAATAGACATTATATACATAGTAAAACGGAGGATTACGTTCCGTTAAACATATTACTGTGCTTTGTTATTTTTAAATAGAAATTTGTGTCGGTAAAATGTTTCCTTTTTTTATTTTTAGCCAGATCTGGTGCACCTGTCCTCAGTCTTCTAACCATTGTTTTTGGAGTCGTCATTTCGCGATATTTTTAAAACAAATTATAATAAAAAAGAAAACAAAGCTAAAAATAGAAAGAACTCAAAACTTCATTTTATAAAACAAATAAGAATACATGTACTAATTTTCTTTCCCAAACTTCATGACTGTAAGTCCGAAAGTAAAGATTCCTGAATATTTGACCGTGCACTATTTTCATTTATAATTGACAACTTTTTTTTGGACCTTCTATAATACAGTACTAGAGGTAGACACATGCTTTTTTCAATGGTTTTTCTTCGATCATTAAAGATTTTTCAAATATCTGTTTTGGTGTTTGTTTGTTTTTTTTAACTACAAATACAAGTTGTTTCAATACTTATCCACTGAACCATCCAAGTATACAAAAGATGGAATGATTGAATGATTGTGGTAAATTAAATCTAACGTCCTCTCTAAACTTTTTTACTCATATCGAGACGCAAGCACGCGGTTGGAGGGCTACAAATCCTGAACTTTACTCGGCATTAAGTCATTTCGTGCCTACATCTGCAGAGACACGGGATATGGTCCCGCATTGGGGTTCGAACTCGAGACGTATTTTTAATGATCAACTCCTTACTCTGCGACCATAGAACAGACTCTCTAACCACTGCGCCAGGTTTGTGACCGGAGTTCAAAATAGTTCACAGGTTAATGTGTACGTTCATTAACGCCGGTGTAAAGACGAATAATGACCCCCATCGAATAATGACCGGGAGTCATTTTTCGACAGCGAAAAATGACCCCCGGTCATTATTCGACGTAGAAAAATGACCCTTTTGCCCGTAGAAAAAGTGCCACTTCCCTAAAAATTTGCAGAACTCACGTGAAGAAAAATGACCCCCGTAGAAAAATGACCCCCTGTAGATTAAAGCTAAAAGTTTTAGGGGGCAAAAAAAATTGGATAAAGAAGCATAATGGCCATAATGCTCACTTGAGCTTATTGGGAATAAACTGATGATATGTTGATCTCATAACATTATACAATTATAGCTATATTTTAAGGTAAATGCAATGATTTAGAAACTAAAGGAGTAAAAGATTTATCATTGTTTATAAACATTGTTTTTTGATGGTGGAAATCATCGAACTGACAGAAAAAATCAGCAGTATTATATATTATTATATCTTCCGCTTGAAAGGCGGGAGGGTATATAGTGATCGGGATGTCCGTCCGTCCGTCTGTTACGCTTTGATGTATCCATCTCTTATCCGCAAATCCTCATATATAAAAAGATGTGTTAGTGAAACAGCTATGCCCCTGTATGGCAACATAGCGAAGATTAAACTTTTCTTAAATGGAATTTTAATATATTGTTACCCAAAGTAGGGTCTTCTCACATGAAATACAACTGCAAAATAGGAAAGCCCTAGCACCACTTATTCAAAAGTAATGGCTAAGGATAAGTTTTTTAAAATGTAGGTCAAACTCAAAGGTCAAAGTTGATGATTTCTTAAGAAAATGTTTAATGTAACAAGGATTACATATGTGAAGTATGAATACCCTAGCCCTTACCGTTCAAAAGTTATGGCCAAGGTAAAAAAAAATCATAAGTACGGAAAACTCCAAGGTCAAGGTCAAAAGGTCAAGTTTTTTAGTATCCAATGAAAGGTAATGCCAAAAAACTACATATTTGAAGTATGAGAGTACTAGTATCTACCGTTTAAAAGTTAGGCCTATGGCAAAAGTAAAAATTTGGCATTTTTATGTAAAATGGGATAAACTCCAAGGTAAAGGTCAAAAGGTCAAATTTGGTGGTACCCAAAGTAGGGTCTTGTCACAAGGAATATACATATTAAATATGAAAGTCATAGCTCCAATAAATGAAAAGTTATGGTAAAGGTTAAGGTTTTTGCAGACAAACAAACCGCCAGATAGACAGACGGACATACATACGAACACGATAAAACTATATACCCCCGAATCTTCGACTACGGGGACATAAAAAGAAATGGTCTTCAATTCACTTTTCATATTAATATACATTATAAAGAAGACGTTACAACAATGAAAATGTTTGTTCTGATTTTCATATTAAATTCTCTGAAAATATACTCAGAACTGAGTAAAAGGATGGAGTAAAACAAGAATTAAAGTAGAACCTATGTCGGAAAAGTCTTTGTCACAAGATTTTCAAACTTTTCAAAATGATAAATTAGTACTTGCTTATCAATCAGTTAAGATATCATGATATGTTTCCTTGTTTTTTAATCTAGAACAGGCTGTGACACTTGGTATGGTATTTACAAACTGCGACTTCACATTTTCAAATATTATTAGGGGTACTTGTCATAAAGGGAATATGAAAAATCACAAAAATACTTCTTCAAACATCGTCGTTTATAAACTTTTTTTAACTGAATAATATTAAACAATATTTTATCAAGAATAATTTCTTTTTATTCAATTAACATAAAAGATAAGTCCACCATTAAAAAAATAGTCAAATGAACTCTATTATTTTTAGTCAATTATTCACCCTATATTTGTAAATATTTTTTAGACGTCTTTGTCACAATGTTTTCAATCTTCAATATGATGAAGAACATAGCCAAATGATTACAAAAATGATGAAAATATATACCTTTCCCCTCTAACTAATGAAAGATAGGCTTTTTACCGATACTCATATTCTTCACCTTTTTGCACTTACACGGGATTTAATAATTAAATGACTGTTTGGGGTTACCTTCAGATTAAATATTTATCAGAAATTGTACTTTTTCTTTAAAAAAAAAAGATCATATTTAATAGAAAAATTGTAATCAAACACCAAAAATATAAATAGGTAACAAATAATTGTTAAAAGGAATGCACATCATTTCATTATAGATATCACAAAAATGTACACACGATCAAACGATCTACAACACGTACATCTTTGACTTAGACACATTTCATCAAGATATTACACTATATAGCTGGCAACTAAAGATTTCTTACGATTTATGCATTCCTTCAAAATAGTTACATACCATTCAAATTATTACGAAAGTTGTATGTACATTGTAATTTCAGTACACTAGATAGTCTTGGGTTTGTCAACTTCAGGTCTAGATCTAGTAAATAAAAGGTGCCTACCAATTTTCTATTATTTCAGAAATATATTGCCATTAAGCATTATAAACCAAAAAATATATGAATTGAATCAAGATTATGTTGGCATGATTGAATTATGTGAATTTCAAAATGCAGTATTTTCTACCATTTTTATTGAAGCTGTCAAGTACGGGGAAAAGTGGCATTGAATTAATTATGACGTCTTAATGGGTTAGCACAGGTTTAACACATTTACAAGTTATGATGTCATACGAAGTAGGTTCTACATTACAAGAAATGTAATGAATAGGCTACTGTGTGCTAAATCAAAAGTTTATGTTTACATGTATAGTTTTTGCATTAGAATGACTGTGTATTTTACACTAGCCCATAGTTTACAACGCATATTTTTAGGTCTTATACTTACCCCACCCCCTTTCTTATTTAGGAGGAAGTCGATATTGAACAAAATCAAAAAATAAACACCCTACCATTATTTTTCTATAAGAAAGGAATTAAAAATAAGCTAAAACTAATCTACTATTCTACTAATTTTTAACTGTTACTTTGCCACAATACTTTCAAGTATACCTCTACCAACATTTAAAGTATGCTTTAATCATGGCGAAGTAAATTATGATATGATAGTACTTGTGTGAAGGCTTAACTTCATTTCAATATTTTATCTAGAGCCTCTTTCTGAATTATTGAAAGGTATAGAGTTTTATTTATATTTTTGCTTTTCATTTATTATTATTTTTTTTGTTTTGATTTAACGTAATGTTCTTTTTTTGGGAGGGGGAAATAAAAATTTCTTCCTCTTTCATTGTCAAATAGGATTTGCCAAACTTAAACAAACTAAAAGTTGAAATGACGGAAAATTTAATTTTTCCTATTAAAGAGTATTTAACCCTGATTTTTCTAAAAACAAGTGGAATATCATTCTATAAGCAAACATTATAAGGAGGAATATTAAAAAGAAATTTTATTTACTTGACAATTAAAGAATCTCATTTCAAACACAATTTTAGCATTGAAAGACTATGTGAATCTCTTAATTATTTCATATGACTTTTTGTATTTTTCTGGTTACAGAAAATGTAAAAATTAGTTTCGCTGTAAAAAAGATATCAAAGAGTATATATTTTCTATCACTTTCAAGGGGGTCATTTTTCAATGGGGGTCATTATTTTATAGGACTAACATATAAAATACTGACCCCCTAGGACCCTTTTTCTACAAAAAATGATTTTTTTCTACGGGTGGGGGTCATTTTTTGTCGTTGAAAAATGACCCCCCGGTCATTATTCGATGGGGGTCATTATTCGTCTTTACACCGGCCTATACGGTACCTTGTATACAAATTGTATCCTAGAGAAAAAAAACCTTGTTAAATCGTAATTACTTGTATCATTCGACACCTGCCAGTTTGTAAAGAAGATAAAATGTTCCAATTCGCCAAGTCGCCCGCGTGGCGCAGTAGTTATAGAACGTCTGCTCTAGAGCTGCGAAGTAAGGAGTCAATCCTTATACGTCGCGGGTTCGAATCCTACTGTGGGACGTGGAAAACGGTCCTTCGGATGAGATCGTATAAACTTAGGTCCCGTGTCACAATAGGTGTCGACACGAAAAAGATCCCTGACTGCTGCTCAATGACCCTCAGTGCCGAGTAAAGGACAAATTCGTAGCTCTCCACCGGCAAGTGGTGACGTCTCTATAATGTTGAAAAATTCTTAAGAGGAATGGTAGATAATATTCAATCAATCCAATCCGTATACGACTTTCTTGATCCGTTTAGTAGGCGCGGAGCCAGGGGCATGTTTGATGTGGACATCAACTACTATTACTGTAATGTAAAATGTTGCTACGAAGGAGGGTGTGGTTTCATTATTTAGCTGGTATTAGTGTTTTTTTAAACAAACATTTCTCCACAAATCAGATTTAACTTGTATACATTAAAGTTTAATATAAAGGAATGCAATTTACATGACTTCCACGGCACAAGTATTCTCCTCTTGAACACTACATTACAGGAAATGAGGGATGACAAAGTGGCGGTAAGATCTCGCAAATTAATTACAATAAAGAGGCTCGACCAGAGACGCCTGAAACAAATAAAAGTTAATTGACAAGAAAAACAGTCTATTGGAGCAAACAATGTCATTTAAACTAAGTTAATGATTGATATATTAACAAAATACGGGCTTAAATTTGGGGTGCCTGTAAATGAGTTAGGTACATTGT